TTCTGGTGAAAAGAGCAAGAATGGTTTGTTTCAACAGAAGATTCGTCGATGAATTGAAGCAGACTACTTTCCAACAGAACTGATACCATTATAAGTTCATCCAAGAAGATTCAAATCGTATTCTCAAAATAAAAGCTGTAGACCGTTTCTTAGAAAAATTATTCATTACTTCACTTTGTGTCGTTGACTCTTTCAGTGTGCTGACTATTTAGTCAGTACAATCTATATTTTGTGTCGCTCAACTAAAAATTCCATTCATCCCACCTGGTCGTTGCTCGGAGGTTCACGGAACGGTAGCCACCATCTCTACGTGGATGAATTCACCTGCTCTTGTGGTGCCGGCCTCACAGTCGGCGTGTAACTAAGCGGATCCAAGAGCATCATTCTGGCTGGTTGAGAGTAGGATTATCAAAAGATATCCGCAGCTCAAATGTGGAGCATTTGATCAACACGGGGTATTTGGTAAAGGTGGAAATGTCATTGAAGTTAGTCTAAAGAATCCCCAATGAATCTACCGAACCGATTAGGACAAATGTGCCATGCACAGGCGAAACGATATCTATTCGGTTTCACCGCCCCAAACTGTGCCAACAAAAAACAACCCGAGGTTATCATAACCAGGTGATTTCAACTGTTTATCATGAGATCAAATCAAAACTGAATGATCGACATACGCCACCACTTTATTTAACTGGTTAAAGGTTACATCCAATAGGAGCAGAACTGTTCGTGTATTCTTTCCTTCCCCTATGACGAAACTACTCATGTAATCACACTGAGTCTTCCATTAATCCATTATATGAGTATTACTCGGTGCACTCAATGTTAAACCGACTTCTATTCTTTTCTGGGCGGTGGTCCGGTGGTAACACCACCCAATTATCACCCCGGAGGACGAGTGTTCGAATCCCACCACCACCGCCTGACTTTCCCCATTTGTGTGTTGTATGGCAGCCCTCTGATTGACCGCTTCCCCCTTCCTGAAAAATTGTATCTTTGCGCATTCAATAAAAAGGAAGTAAAATGAAAAGAAAAGAAAGAAAAGATTATATGAGTATTGCTCGGTGCACTCAATGTTAAACCGACTTGCGAACGTGAGAGGAGCTACCACAGTTAATGATTTGTATTTCCCCTCAGCGTACTTTATACGTCTCGTCAGGAAACTGCTCAAAATTAAATAATACAATTTATTATTGTGTTTATGTAGACGGGGACATTATCGCACGTTAGGAGAAATACTGAATGAACAGGAATGTAGAAACAAATGTGTGATAGGAAACTGTGGACCAGCACCAAGAAAAAATACAGCATCATCATACACTGTGAGAACGGGGGACGTGATCCGTGCAGCTAGGACAGAAGAACTGAAGAATGCGTGTTGCGCGGGTTTTCGTAAACCGCTTAGGAGTGCTTATGCTGTAATAAGTTCACCTGCGGTTTCGCTCTGTGACATCTTTTTTACCACTCCCAATGTTGCTTTGACCATGAAAAAACCTCTATCAATATTCTGCCTGTTCCTAACCCGGGTTTGTCGTTTTGAAACAACTGATCTCCAAAGAATGCTTGCTATTCACTGAGATTTATAGTAAAGCATAATTGTGAGCGACATATTTTCCGACGAAAAATTGATAGATTATCCCTTGATATGTGAGGAATGAAAAATCACATGACCTGGATGCACATGCAGATTTAATTGTCGCTTGCAAACGACATTGATTAATACACGTGGAAATCATGCGAAGATTCCATTTTTCCACAGGTTTTGGCGCACCACCAAGTTTTACGTTGTCAACGATTGCCTTCATTTTCCTAATCAAACTTTAAATTTGGCACGGTTATGAATCACATTGCTCTATAGTTCACCTTCCCACTCTGTCCTACGCTGAGTGACAAAAGCCTTTCTCGTTTCATTACTGCATTACTAGTTTCGAGCGCGTGATGATCAATCATTAACTACCACCCACTGTTATTCTACACCATACTTGCGTTTGTTTAACCAGTGTGTGTGTGTGTGTGTGTGTGTGTGTGTGAATGTGATTACTTATTCGATACGTGGTGTGTGCGNGCTGTTTCCGGACTGTGGAAAACTTCGGACAAACACATGACAGCTGGTAACCAAACCTGCTGGTAATGCTAGCTCCCATTGTTCGTGCGTGTGTGCGGATGATGTAAGCGAAAGAAATATGACCATTCAATGGCCCAAGTTTATCTGATGGGAGTGGGGTGGGGTTCGGTCTGCTGTTTGACACATCCATCGAATTGCGGTAGTGCGATGTTTGGTGTGTGCTTGCGTGCTGCTGTTATCCACACCTCGAAGTCTAAATTTGCATCCCTTTGGTGTGAAACGAGAAGCAGCTGTTTGCTGAATTCGATGACAGTGTACGTCGGTGTGATACTTCATTATTTGGGTATTTGTTGCGCATATCTCGTTTTCTTTGTCTTTTTGTCCCTGGCTGGACACTGTTATGTGTTCGTTTTGGCCAGTGAAAGACCAACGTAACTTTCGGTTTCAATGGAAACCGAAATAACAGTGCTAGAATCACAAATCGCCAGCGATAAGTCTCCACAACATTCTGGTTATATTCTCCTGGTTATCAATAACTGTTCTTACGCATTATTGTCCTTCATTGTTTTTATGGCAGCAAGCTGAACTCAAATATAATTTTCGTAAAATTGTGCACTAACCATTCAGGTGACGGACGAGCGGTAAGGAGAGTAAAGCCTGTTGTGAACTTACTTGCAGTTACATTTCGCACAATCATTGCGATGCGATTTATTGTACCGTGTTCCCTGAGAGATTCCTATAGCTCCCACACTATCGTGCCCGAGTCACCAGCTCCACGTGTGCTGTTAGGCGAGAACTATGTTACAATTCTAACGAAAATTCAAACAGGTGTTTTGGAAACCTCCCAGGATAGTAAGTGCTCCATTGTTCTGGGGTCAACTACTTCACAATTTCTATATTGTGATCTAACCTAGTTTACATGTATTTCTTGTATTCATCAATACACAGGTTGGATTATATTCTCACTTGGGTCAATGATCCAATTAGTGATGGAGACAGTCATGCGACCAAAATAAATGCCAATATGTCGAAGCTATCAAAAATCATTAGAAGTATACATAATGTTTTCGATCGAAATTCTTGTGAGGGCACAAAAAGAGCAATGGACAGCTGTTTCGCTTTTTATCGAGACCCATCATCAAAGTGCTCTATTTTTGTGTTTCCAACGGGAGCCCAGCAGCAACGCTCCTTACCTATGAGCATTGCTTTTGTGAGAACGTTTCGTCTGAATAAGCCTATTTGATATCAGGCTCTGAGTATGGTACATAATATTGATGAGTTCCAGGAAAACGGCACATCTATTAGAATTGTAACGGATAAATACATTTATAAAAGCGTATCCACCAAGCAGATTCAACGATTAACTTGCTTCTGAAACCTGAAAAGCCGTTTCAATCTTGTTAGGGTTCATCAGCAGTGCTTATCAATTGGGTCCCGAAACCGGGCACGAGGAATTATTATTCCGATGGGTTAAGTACTTGAGAGTTTCCCATTATTTCTTAGTAACATGCGACTCTCAACTAATACCTGGTGTAGTGCTAATCCGTCCCTGTTTTTAAAGAAAATTACCCTATCACGTTGAATCTGGTTGACATTTTGATCCACCACCCAAATCTCTCTCTAACTGTTCTATGTAGATAATCATGTCTGATTTCTAAAATCACGTATTTTTCATCGTTCGACAGACATTTCTAGCTCAATAGTTCTTCAAGGACAGTCTCAACTACCCAATAGCTGATACGCGTATATTATCAGTTGTTTTTGGAGTGCGAAGTGGAAGCATGTCCCTGAAAAAGAAATCTATACAAAGCAAACAATTGTTTATCCGTTCAAATTGTTGCTTGGTAGGTCACGAAAAATAACCGTCATATGTTTGAAAATATTATTAGAATCGGCAGGATTCGAACCTAAGCAAGAACACCGCCCACACGCGCACGTCCTATCAGCTAAGCTACTAGGTTGCGCTCTTAGCGCTGATTTCTTTTTCACTAACTTCACCTAAACCCTGAGTAGAAAGATGTAGAGTCTAGGTAACGAAGTTGCATTCACAATTGTCCGGGATAGCCACTACATTGTTCAAATACTGTTTGACAAAAGGACTTCGCATCAACAGAGGCAACAGTGAGTTGTGTTTTGCAACTATTTTTCAGGTAAATGATGTGAATTATTAAATGAGTCTTGATATTACGGCCCCATTCCCCTTTCTATTTGTCGGTGTAGAAGGTTGTTGTNTGATCATACGTTCGAAGATTTACATGTCAGGCGCTTTCCGAAATGGTGTGAGTTACTATTCCGGGGAGAAAATTGTATGGTTATATTTTCAAACATGAAGATCTAAATTAATTACGTTACAAGTTTTCACTGTGAAAGACAACAATGCATTGTTGTTCTCTGTCCAATTTTTTTCAACTTTGTCTGGAAAACGGTTACTCAGCGTTTTACTAAAACATTAGAAGAAAAAGCATTTGGTTGTAAGATGTAGTTCACATTGTATAGAGCAAAGAAACCAGGAACGGGATATCCCTGTGAAAGCTGTATCTCCACTTTTGCTCAACTGGGTTATAAGAGTGGTGTGAGTGTATCAACTTCACTACGGGCCATACGCAAGAGGTGACGGACATTCATTTTAAGATCGTTATTCATACACAAGACAATGTGAACTGCAGAGACGCGTTTTGTTTCCAGCGGATTTTACGCCGACGGATGAAGTCACTGATAGCCCTTTTCTCCGAAACAAAATCCAATCGAAACAAAAGCATTTCGTTTTGCCATGGCACCATTTTGTGTGACCTTTAGAACATGGTGATATAGATTATATCTCTGTTGCAGTTATTCGCACTTTGGTGATGTTAGCAGACAGACAAAAGGATGTTGCACAAAGACAGTCAAATTATGTGGATAAAATAATTAGGAGTTTTCGTGTGATCCCACTCACCCTTGCACTTTGATGTTGGATAGTCGACCCATACAAAGCCGTCCGGACAAACACACAGGTGACTTCCATTGGTGTTCACACAGCGCGCCCGTGGGTCGGGACAGGAGGCCTCGGACCCGAAAACCTGGCACTCATCCACATCTGAAATCAAAGATGGACAATGAGAGAGAAAGATAGAGCAAGCAAAAATGAAAAAAAAAGAAATTGTAAAAAGGGATGATTTAAGTTGTATGAAAGAAAGGGTATGAAAGAAAGGTATAGCAGAAAACAGTTCTATGCAAATGGGGCAAGAGTTCATCTAACTGATACTCAAAAGCGCATAAAATGTAGCCACAGAGATCAAATATTCGTGTTGAAAATGTTTTTTTTGGCCCACATGTCAGAGTGAAAACTAAGAATAAAATGAAAATAAATCTATATTCAGCTCACTGTTAGTCGTTAGTGGTGGTGTGAGATATCGATGTGCTAAGTCGGATAGCAACAAAGGAAGAAGGGTATGGTACACTCACTATCAAATGATTCTGAAAGTCTCCCATATAATAAGTAGCATTTCCACTGAGGGTTAAATTGCCTGTTTGAAAGAAACCTAAATCACGAGGTCAGTATGTGTAAAGCCGGGATATTTGTACTGGTATACACATTCAAAAATAGTAATTTAAGGCCACATTTTTTCTTTCTGTAAGGCCATTCAAATTATCCTTATTTACGTCTGTCATGTGCACCGTTGTGATAAAATGACAATTGTCATGTCAAGTATACATTGTTCATTGTTCTCCTGCAATTCATAGTGTGTAACCAGGGATTTTCCATGATGACCTGATTGGAAGAGTTAAAGTGATAAAGACGCTCTGAACTGCTTGCCCAAAAATGAGGCCTAGGGGCGATTGGTAAGCTGCTTTGTCCTTGTTGGGAGTCATCAACAGGGTCTCCTAGTCCTGTATCTCGGGCGGGATTCGAACCTCAGAACTTCGGACAGGAACTAACACTATTATCCTTGAGCTATCCGGTTGACACGCACTTTCTGAACCTATTATTATTTGGATTTACTAAGTTTCCGTAAAAATTCACGCACACATGAATTTACGGATTGTTTTTTGTTGATGTGGCTCTCCGTTTTCAGGAGTCCAGAAAAAAATAAAAATTTCATTCCATGTCATCATGAGCTCAGGGTGTTCATGGTCGGTTCAGTGGATTAAAAATAAGAGTGTCGGTTTTCATCCCACAGGTTCACGGTTATAGTACCAACAGGAACACAAGGGCGATTCAGACTTCCGATTAGTTGAAACAAGGGCGATACAGCAGTTTCATGTTCCTCGTTGGCTGTCGAAGACACTATATGTCAAATGGTATGTGTAAATGCAGGAAACTAACAATCTTTCAATGAACAAAACCTAACTCCGAACAAACATTTACATAATTTAGCGTCAGGGAATCCATAGACAGTTAGAGGAAAAGCACTTCTTTACGAAATAAAACTTGAATGGTAGTTATTAGTTATCAGATCCGAAAACATCAAGCCCCCGAGGAGATTAATTCAACGCACGAACTCTCTTGCTCAATTATCATCGTGTTATCTATCACTGTATAGTATGGATTATTGCACCAATTACATTTTTTATCGTTTAAAAACGTGCAACAAATCTGGAAAGAGTAGATTATTTGTGCATTATGTACACACACCTACAAAAATAGGATAACTTGGCCCAATTTCGCTGGCTAGACCCTGTCTTTAAAACATGGAGGGATAAGCAAAAGAAGAAAATAAACCATTGAGTCACTCGAAATTAAGTGATGAACGGGGAGGCTCAGGCTCTTCAGAACGTGTACTTCAGTTTACTTCAGGCATTGATTCGGTCGATTGTGTGAAGCTACTACCTCAGTTTCTAAAGAAAATATCTGAACTGCTTGACCAAATTTCATTCATGTGATAAAGTGGGCACTTTGACCAGGACTGTGAAGTTTGCATATCCCGAATCGCATTTCCAAGACTACAACATTTTCGTCCATGTCCGGGCTTTATTGAGTAGGTGAGATGGTAATAGATTTTATGAATACGAAACATGCCACATAAAAGAAACCCTTTGCAAAAAATTAATTTCCGGACAAGAAAGAAATGCTAATGGGAAGCAGTACCTACCAACACAGGTTTCGTGGTCCAGATTTTTGTACCCTCGTTCACACAAACATTGGAAGGATCCGATCGTATTGAGACAGTACATGTTTGGACCACATTTGGCCATACCATTGCGACATTCATCGATATCTGTATGTTACCGAAGAATGGTGGAATTGAAGGAGGGAGAATGAATGGAAAACGTTGTTACCTTTACTGTCTTTTAACAAGCACAAAAATCCATGACGGAGAAATAAATCGATACGAAATTAGAAATGACGAAACACACCTGGAGAGTTGGTTTGAGTGAAGAGTTTACAATCCTAGTGATTCCATCTATCCATGCAATTACAACAACCATGCACCAAATGTAAAACAATATTTAAGTTAGCCATATTTTCTCTCTACTAAGCTTGTACTATTTATATTATTTTAAGTACTAGTACTGTACTTTTTCAAGTTTTGTTTTTAAATGAGAGTAAGAAACAATTCAAGTTGGCTACTTGGCACATTTCCTTGTCTATGAACAAAAGGAAACGTGAACTAAAAAGCCAGAATGCACTCCATACGCTGGTTTATATACTGTTGAGTAATAACACCCCATTAACACCTGTGTGTTACCCACTCGATCAATGGGCATCATTGGGAAACTTTGGGCAACCATCAAGAGACTCATACACTTAATCGGGACACAGCAATAAACCAGCTTCTTCAGTTTTTGTTTTGTGTTAAGCCCTGCTCGTCTTGGCCCTCAAATTATATTAAAGAGAGTGACTTTTAGACTTAACTTGAAAGAATGCTTGGTTTATCTGCACCTGTTTCACAGTTAAGATATCGTTCAGACATAAGGTTAAATAGTATGTTGCTTATACAGCTGAACTTGTTGAGTAGACAGAGTGAAGTGAATAAATACACGAATTTTGATCCTGCACTTTCACACTGAATAATGTGTTGAAATTTTATGTCATGTATTTGTTCAAGGGTTCGGTAATTTCAGAGAATAAAAACATCTTAATTCGAGTACAGACTAGAAATTTGCCAGAATGCAAATACCCTGATAGACTGAAATACACCTGTTTGGTCGATTTAGTATTTAACTCTTTGAATAAACACTATAATATGGGATTCTGTCATACTTTATGCCTTAATTGTGCACACGCATTCTTCCGATCTATTTTAATCAAATGGATGATACTGAAATTTGTTTCACTTGTCATCATCCGTTACAATATCATGCTGCTTCTATCGTAGATTGATCAGTGTCGTTGATCATATATTCATAAATTCACAAAACAATGTGTGAAAATTCTGTTTAAGGGTGACTGTAGATGGCGCATTTATGTGGAACAGCGTTATCCTCAAATCCTGCGGGACTGCTACGCCATGGAATGATTTTCTCTTTTTGAATAACTTGGTATTATTCTGACCTTAAACGAATCGTATCTCTATCAGGAAATCTGCAACAAAGTTCGCCAACTGATGTTTTCACCTCACTAGGGGCATATGGATTGGCTCACCCCCATTGTTGAAGTGTCCTTATCCTTGTGTAATTTGGCGCTGAACGTTCTCTAGTAATATTTTCTGGTAAACTTGGGAAGGGCTTTGAGCTAATCAAAAAATGGCTGAATACCATTTCAAACCGAGATTTTATTCCCTATAATAACTCACCTATACTTCTGCTAAACATGACGAGGAAATTCTTTATACGGTAGGGTAACATAATTTTAGTTAACTACGGGTGCTTATTTAGCTCCACATGAAAGAGTGAGGGTAGGTGTTCTTTTCCATTTATTTCAACCTCTTATTGTTTCTATTTCATTCTTCTTTTCAAGAATGATTACTCACCACCGGTTCAAACTTACTTGTGCAAGCCTGAAACCCTTCTGCAATTTAGTTTCACCCAAAGCTTTTGGAATTCACGTTTGAAAGAAAGCGTTTCAACAAGCTGTGAAGCAAATTTTAATGGACCATCTTGAGGTTTTACCGAGTGTATAACCTTTTTCACTGTACATGTCAAAACATTTTAGTTGCCCGCTTAACGTTTCCCTAATTGTAGACAAACAAAGTGCATTCTTCATATGACTCCAACAATGCCTGTCAAATTGTGGTAAACGAAAAGCACTGAACTATAGTATATAGCATGTACTATATACGCAGTGCAATCAACAGTTGTGGGGAATAATGCTGGGGGTGGAGGTGAAGGACACAATTGAGGATAGTGTACTTTCAGATTTGAACACACATTGCCTATACCTTCTTTGCCTGCATACCCAGGCTCATCTTGCCTGGACTAAAGTTTGAGGGAAATCTGAGTGTATTATACAGTTCAATGGTTTAGAATTAAAAAAAATTGATGTGTTTGGTAAAGTGCTACATTTAATTATTCGTTCAAATTACGCAAATGACCTAATGAAAATGTTAAGAAGGTTTGGAATATTTCCAAGTTAACCAACGTGTTTGCTTCGACTCGTGCGGCACTCACGGCTGCTATGGAGATAATTAGCTGCGAGAAGCACACAATTCGCAAATGGGGTGAAGTTTACCTTTACAAGCGCCGAATGGACCGTCCCGTTCAAAGCCCGGTTGGCATTCGTTCATCCGAATGCATCGATATCCGCCAATATGATTCACACATTTCTCGCCAAGGGCACAGATGAATGGGTTTTCTTCGCATTCGTTTATATCTGCGGGTTTGGAAAAAACGGTTCTTTGATAATGAGGAATGAAAAACTGTACAAAAACAACTGGTAACATTGTTATCAAAAACTGAACTGTTTGGGAAAACAGCAGCAACAGCAGCAGGAGAAGTAGCTGTATAAGAGTTAATAAATATTTTGCAAAATGTTTTTCTTCACATCTGTCTATATCTGTGGTTGAAAAAGATCTGCTTGCAGTACAGATTTTGTCTGGGATCAAAAATAGCACAAGAAGATAGAATAAGAAAGGGGCGTTTTTCAGCTGACATTTATAGAATGGATGGGACAACGAGTGGATAACCTTGACTACGAGATGTGTACTTCTGAGTGTGCGTGTGCGCTTAGTCCAAAATCATCCCTAAGATGTTAAGTAATTAGACAAAGTTTTCTATTTGGTATATAATAGCATTAGACGTAACAGGAATATGAAAACTGGAAGATCACCTACTAACTTCATGCATTACGATAGCAGAAAAACTGCAGATACCACTTACGCTCCCAATGGTTCAATTAAGATGTGACTTCGTTATTCATAAGCGTACTGATATTGAGGATGATGTTATACATTTGCCATCAGATTGAGGGAAATGTCCTCAGCATCTGTATTAGACTGTTTATCGTAAAGAGCTTATTAATTCGGTGCTCACTCAAAGTTCAGTAAAATTTCAACATTCAAACCTTTGGAACGTGTGCTGTGAAAGACATTTAATCACTTCGTGAGAGTTATGTGGATGGTACCTTCTTTTTTAGATGTAGAGAAACCTTAGTAAAAACGCTAGTCAGGCGTAATGAGATATTAAATTGATATCTGAAGATCCAGAAGATACGTTGCATTTTCTCTTTGTGGGTTTTATGCAGTGGTGAAAAGTAACTGAGCAAAAGAGCACGTATATGGCGCACCATCATGAACCGAAAAATGTATTCAGTTTTCTGGTTTTGTACTACTTTAAGGTTAGTGAAATTTTATCCGTCCCCCAGTAATCTGAGCCGGAAACATCTGTGTGGAGTAGGGATTAGCTCAAAAACTCAAGGACTTTCAAATGCACTTGTATGGTCAAAAATAGCCTATTCAATACGTGCAAGAAACCTCTTGTTTGTATACTGAAAGAGAAGAATCTGTAAGTGTGGATATGGCTGTAGAAGACTGCAACAGGGGCTTGAACATCTGAGATTGTGAAAAGACGATTAATCGCCTATAATCATTGGCGCGTTTACCTGTTCATTTTTGAAGTCGGTTGGCCATTTATATTAATCTCAAACGAAAATCTCGAACTCCGCACTGATCACAAACTCATCTTTTGACGATATTCGGCATGCTGCATAGAAAGAACAATAGGCCAGTTTTCGAAGAGAATCAGACAACATTAGCAACCGAAGTTGGCCACCGGTACTGGAAAAATCATCTTCCATGCTGCTGGGTAACACCTCGCGAACAATAGTCATCCACTAAGTAAAGATCTCATCTTCATTCTTAGCCAATGAACAGATTTTCGTTTACAACTTATACATCATTTATCAATTCTGTTCTCGAATCGAATCACACAAACACGGAATCTCTATTGCGGATTTATATAGATGCACTAGCTGGAGGATGAGCTTACTGAAATCAAACTTGTTCATCATTTCTTTTGCCATCAATTTACTCAATTTCATCCCAATTACACGTGATCAGTAATTTTTTGGCATTTGTTTTATTTAAGCCCGTTCATACTGACGCATTAATTAGGGCACATTTTGAGCAGTCGGATAGAGAACGCTTTTCAGTCTTGAAAATTCATTTAGATTTCCTGAGTCGGGATCTATCTGCTTTAAAGTACCAGCTAGCAAGCCAATCAGGGGGCATGTGTACGGCTATAGAGGCAATCACATCTTATGCAGTTAGGCGGACCTTAGGTTGATCTGCTTAGATGTCTATCTCGGGGGTGATAGACTAAATAATCAAGTCCGCCGATTTACATTCACATAAACATGCATGGCTCTGATGCAAATCGCAAGAAGTGATGACGAAATGAAGCCAAGCAAATACGATTCGCTTGTTGTAATCAACTTTGACTGCAAAGTTGCCGTAAAACGTAATGATGCATAGATAGTCTATTCGACCCTTTGGTTGATACAAAAGACTTATATTTTATGTGTTTGACCTGCCACCTGGAAATCCAATTCAGTGGGCTGGTCTCAACGAAGTATGTGATCGGATTTTATTTTGTCATAGATGATAAAGTTCAAAGAAATTGTAAGATGGGGGAAAACAGCTTAAACTATATTTCATTCTATTAAACCTCTCTGTTAAAGAATAGATTGTTCAGGTTTCTCAGCCTACCACACGGGTATTCTACCTTCTCAAGTAATTAAACAATAAAGTGAACCAAGATACGTCATGACCATGAAACACTGGAGGAAATGGCAGCTTATCCGAAACAAACTGCCGTTACAATTCATGGTAGTTTTCAGGCAGTTAACTTTGCGAAGAACGGTGACGTAACGGGGGCACGTACTGATTCATATAAGTTAGTTTTTAATTATTGAATATTCTCATTGTGAGATTAAGAAAACACTGTAGCGAACAAAGCTTGTTTTCGATAACTTCCTCCTCGGTCGAATACAGTTAAATATAGGGTTCAAAATTGTCATACTAGTGTAATATCTGATGTGATGAATATGAGTGGTTGATTTTTTATTAATAGCCACTTAACCATCATTACATCAGCCGAATTGGTACGTTAGAACATTATCACACAATACAGTGCTGAATAATAAACCGGGATACTTGGATTAAAGCTCCAACTGACAGAAAAGATAAGCGATTCTATTATTGGTTTTAAGAAGATTTTTCAAGTTAAGTTTTCGCCGATCGAAAATCGAATGAGGTTTTTTGTAGGGACTATTTACCTCTGATTACTATCCTGAAATATTCCAGTGAAGCCAGTTCTAATTCAAGCATAGAACAAAAGAAAATAGTATTAACTGTTTTAGTTCATTTTCTAATCTCAGCCTCAAAATGGATCGCGTTTCGTACTACCAGCTGGGTTGACGTTTTTGCACTGCACTAGAGGTGTGCATGGGTCAAAGACACGATTCTTAGATGTTAGCGTCTGACAGGTGCCGTTTGGTCGAGATGACGAAGCATCAGGGGGTATCGTCATCCGAGATCGGTTACAACTTGCTTTCGGCATGGGGTCTATCACTCTGTCATATTTGTTCGACTGGCGTGGACCCAGTTGCAGCTGGCCACATGCATATTCTTTTCTACTCGGACAAACAAGGAGGTGAGATGAGCAATAAAGTGGAAATTGTATCGTTTGCGAGCACTTGTTAAGACGTTTCTTTTCTGATTTGTGCAAATTAAACACATCGGTTAATGATGTTTCGGTGGACCAGATTTCGGTCAGTGTTACCAAGAGAACATGCATCAAACTTTTCTGCAATATATTTATGGTAGGTTAAAAATTCAAATATCATGAAATATGCCCATTGACTAAGAACACAATGTGGGCGAACATATGTTTTCGGTGAATTCCTTTTCAAGCCTTTGCAATCACATTTATGTAAAACAATTTCAATACGAATTTGTCAGGGTCTTCGAATTTCAGCCGCGCTATCCGTTTTTCCATCATCGGATTATTCGCTACATTACCATAACTGTGTCTGAGCTTTTTTGCATCATTCACCTGAACTTTTACCTTGGTTGTCAAGGCGAATGTTGTGCTACTACAGTAATGACTAATTTGATCAAATACCGCCGGGATTTCATGCATTCAAATGGACTAAATGTGCAGCTACATCCTGTTTTGGGAGGACTATAAGGAATAAAACCAAAAGGACGTTCAGGAAGCTTTCGAAAAATCCGAGGAAGCATCGAGCCAGTTGGAAAGTTGCTCTTCGGAAACAAACCATCTCCCGCTTGTGTGTTCCCATCATTCTCACTTCTAACGTCCGATCTCTTATCGGAAATATGGCCGATCTCACCGGCTTAGTCAAGCTACGGGAACATGCCCAACTAGGTGGGATCATGCTACAAGAGAGTTGGCTCCATAATGACATTGAGGATGAAATAATACACCTGGATGACTTCGCTAGCTATCGTGCCTATCGTCCTGTTCCTTATTCCCGACGGGGAGGTGACGTCATCAAGTTTGACAAAACCAGTGGTGTCATCTAACCAAAAGCGTTTTTTTATTTCACACCCGATATAAACGCATCGGCAATTCAATGTAAGCCCAGACATTTCAGCTTTTCTCGGTCACTTATTCTTGTAAATGTGTATGTAGCCCCCTCTTGGTCATCTAATGTTCCTAATGATTTTTATGACTCTTTCAACTGCACTGAATATGTAGATACTTCAGTATTTATCATTTGTGGTGACTTCAATAATTCCGATACCCGTTTCTAAACCGCCTTAGGTCTTCAAAACATTGTTACCTTTGCCACTAGGCTTCATGCACATCTGGATTTGGGTTTTATCTACTTTCCCAATTTACTTCTTGTAGAACGCCACCCCCCACTGGGAATGTCTGATCATTCTATGTTGAAGTTTTCTGCTACCATCTTTAGCAGAACGAACCATCGTCTCTTTGCTCAAAGTCATGATCACAAGCTTCAAGTAAGACAGCGTTCTCCAGAAAACATCACAGGGTTTAGGGAAATGAGCAAGCACTCCGGCCTTACTTTGTTTTCTGATCCCAACCCTTCCGTTTTCTGTGATCAATTAGCAAATTACTTAAACTTTTGCAACGACCTTTGTGCTTCAGATACAATTTATATCCTCCCTGATCGATTCTCTTCCCCACACCTCAAACAACTCCGTCGTAGAAAGGAGCGTGACTTCAAAATGCATATGGGCGACGAGGTGTGCTCTCTTTCTAAATCCATCGAAGGCTAAACTCTTTATAAGCCGCTGCTCGGTTTGACAACAAAGGTAGTCGGGAGACCTGGCAAGCCCCCATGCGAATTTCTGACATCAAATCGTCCCACAGCGCACCTGCTGGTGT